GTAAAATTCAAGATCGATTCAATATGTCTATAGTTAGACAAAAGATGAAAGTAAAACCAATGCTAAGAAAGTCAATTTGATCAATTTGAAATTACTTTTGCTTCTATCTTCTAATTCACGTTTTTGAGTTATTAGTATTTTACAGTTATTTTTATTAATGACTTATTGTATTTGTCATAAAATAAATGAGCCTAATAATCTAAATAAATTTGGGCTCAAATAAATTATTAAGCCTATAAAAGATTCAGATTTCTTCATTTTCTTCCTTGAGACACGCCGACGATGAGATTTGATGCTTCCGATCTGGAACAATCCGCTTCCAACTCCGAATCGTGCGTTTCCACAGCGATTCCAAATCTCACTTTGTGGGAATCGCGATTCCGGTGCAATTTCTAGCGATTCCGTTTCCGTTTCCAATTCCGGAGCGAGAATCGTATCGTCACAGACGATTCCGTGCTACGTAGGAGTGTAAAAAATTTAAGAGTACTCTATAAATATCTAAATGTGCAAACCTTTGGAATTCATATATAATTAATATAGCTAATATCTTTCACACTTGACATGAAGAGATCAAATCTATTCAGTTGCACCATAACCATTAGGTAGAAACCCATAAAGCAGTAAGAGCAAGTCCAACGACACGGTATAACACTAAATATAGTGTGGATCTTGCTCCAATCGAACGCTATATTAGACGGCATAATTTTGTTTTTAGTGTTTTGTGAACAGTGTTACACCAGTGTGATACTGTTCACAAAACACCATTTTTATTATTTTAATTGTATTTTTAATTTAGTAAAATGATTAAATTTTGGTTTATTAACTAAAAAATGAATATGATGCTCAAATTCAAAAAAGTTTAGTTCGACACAAACATATCAAAGATCGGAAAATTCATATTAAACTTCGAAATGCGTTAATTTTGAAAAAGCGGCTTGTGGCTAGATCTCTACGTTTGTGTTTGTAACGGGTATGTATGAGTATAAAATAAAAACATATAGAGTTTTTTCACGAGGTTCGGTTTTCCTACATTCTCGGGACCTAGTCCAGTATCAATCCATTAGATTAGGCCGCAACCTACAATTGCTATATGGCATCCACCACTATTTTCTACATGGACAAACTATGAAGACATGTATCAAGCACGCATGCTTGACTACCAACTAGCAGCACCGGTGCATCACCGTCTTCTCAACGGCTGCAATCTTCATAGACTACCACCACGAAATCCTCACATTTCATGTTATGTGGGCTTTTAAACTCTCTCATAATTGAGCTTTCTAATTCAATAAGAGCTCAATCTCACTTTGTTCCGTGTGTTGGAACAACCCGCAGCTCATATTCTGAGGCTCCAAAAAGCTCTCTTTCAAATTGAACATTTGTGATTCGAATATAATTCTGAGAATTAATTCGATGTA